CTCTCTCTCTCTCTCTCTCTCTCTCTCTCTCTCTCTCTCTCTCTCTCACTCTCTGGTTGCCCTATAATCGTGTCGCCGCTCATAAAATCTTTGTTTTAAGTTTCTTTACCCTCTAACATGATTATTACTTAGATACCTTACTGTTACTTCGTATACATTTTTAAGGCGATGATTCAATCGGGTGAACTCATTTAGAAAACGAACAGCCAATAAACGTCGTCCGTTCGCCGCCGTCTTCACATCCCTTCCGCCGGAAACCTTCCCTTGTCGCAGGCCGCATAATCGACCCCCTCCGTTAATCGTTCGTGCGATCCTTGCACTCTCCACGCCGCGGGACGCGTCGCCGGGGCATTTCTACGAAAATATTGATCGCGTTCTCCGACTGGGGGGGTGGCTGGATGCGGGGGTGGTGTGTCAGAGTGCGGGGTAAAAAGACGGAGCGGCCACGTTCGCGCTGGACGTTGCACTTTGCGCCAGAGATGGGCGGAATTCTTATTTAGACTTGAATTTCGAGGCAGAAACGAATGTTGAGCAATTTTTTTTTTTTTCGTGACTAGAATTTGAAAACTATAATCAGAAACGATAATTAAAATTCAATAATTCTAATCGATTAGTAAAATTCGAATAGGAATGTTCTAATTAAAAACTACTTTAACTTAAAAATTCAAATTATAGTTGAGAATATCAATTTGTAGAATGAAAATAAATCTCACGATTTCAATCGTAACAATTTCAATCGATCCACCTCTGTTTTACATCCCCGCGAGACAACCCCCGTCGGCGATAAAACAATTTCACCGATAAACGTTGACCCGTCGCTGATAAGTCGCTTGGAACATCATATTGATGGACAAAAATGATCGTATACAAAAGTTTCTTCGTAGCTAGCACGATGGCCCGGCGGTTACTATCATACCTCAGCTCCAGACTCGTCGATCGTAGCTTCCCTTGCGCGTCAGGCGTCGTTTCGAATAATTCTCGTTGAAATTTCTCGCGAGCGCGGCGATTTACGCTGTTACGTCGTCGTAGACCACCATATGGGGCGGGCATCAACAAAATTAAACAATATATCGTTCAACAAATAGAATTCGTAAAAAACCGCGCTGCCCCATCAAGCGATCGACGACGACGCGCGTCAACCAAAGATGGACAAAGTTCTATTTATTCGATGAAATTACGAATTTTCATATTTTCTGTTAAATGCATCATTCATATATAATAATACAAATTTGAATTTCTCTTCCGCGAATAATTTATTCGAAATTTGTAGGCTCGGATAACAATTTCGCCCATCTCTGACGTCGATCGACCGCCCTCGTCGCGCGTCCATGATTGTCTCGTACTTGATAATCATTTATGAATACGATTGTTCGCGGCGTCGCGGCTCGAGATCGCCCTGGAGCACCAGACGTCCATCGATAAAAACACTCGGGGAGTCAGACTTCCTGGTGTCGGCAGGCGATAAAAACTCTGGGTCCCCGTGGTAAAAAGCTTTTCACTGAAAACGACGGGCAAACTCGATTCTGCGTTAAAAGGCTTAAAAAATATGTCGGTGCCGCCTGGACGGCATCCCCGAGTCCGCGACGCCATTGTTCCTCTTTCGCAGCGTATACCCATGTATCCTGGTGGCTTCGTCGTCGAGAAATTTCAACTTGGGGCGGTTTGTCGAACTGCGTTTCGAATTTTGCGCTTCGAGGATCGCACGATCGATTGCCACGTCACCCGCGAAGGTGGCGCGGCGACGGGAATTTCTCCAATTAGCCAGGATTTACGCTGACGCTTCTCGCACCTGAGTCGTTCGGTATACGTGGGTTATCTTTTTCTTTCAGTATACTAGCACGCCGCTGCGCCGTGCTTCCGGAAACCGGCCCCAGAGACGGGCGAAATGTTTGTCTGAAATCTTGATGGAGGAATAAAAATTGAAAAATCAACTTTGAACGAATTAGTAATCGGAATTTTTCGTTCGTCATCTATAATTCAAATAAAATTGGAAATTATAAAACGAAATGTTTCATTCGAGAATATAAAATTTCAGTTGAATAAGTGTCGAGTCGAATAGAAAACTGCAAACACGTCTCTACAACAGTATTATTTTAATAAAATTCGGACTAAACAAATAAAGTCATGAACGCACAATCCGTCTTTTTTTCGAATAACATTTCCCCCGTCTCCGATCACCATCAATGATTTCTTTCTATCATCGGCGCGCGGCAGGAGCAGTGTGTTTACATTAAAATTTTTATACAAGATCTGCGTGTATGCGGGCGTATTGAAAATATCGATAAAATTTGTCTCGTATGCTCTGCGTATCTCTCGTTCGTTCACTTTCTCGCAGCCTCTCTCACGGTCTCACACTCCATCTTGCGCGTCGCGGATCCCCCGCAGGCTCTCTCGTTGATCCTAGCACGAGATTGTTCGGAACGATGATCGATACCCATCGTTGCATCGCGATCCGTGCGCCGAGAAAGCGTTTCGGCGCGCGATTTCGAATCTCCCGCGCGATTTTAAATTTCCCGCGCCCGACGGGGGACCCCCGTGATCGTTGCTTCGTGGCAAATCCGCTCTGACGTATAATCGACGTGTTTAATTTAATGCAATTTCAACGTTCTCGCTCTCCCTTTCACTCTGATCTCAGCCTCTCGTGATAAACACGCTCCGTTCCGCGGAGTATCGTTACAAAGGGTCTCGCGAAAAACGTGCCGCCCTTATCTGCCTTGCTCAGAGTATTTAGTTTCTTTTCCTTCTTTATCTCCTGCTTGAATTTTAAATCGGAGAATTTATAGAAAACTAGATTTCTATGGTTTGAAGAAGAATATTCAAATAAGGGTCGTAAGAATGAGATTAATTAAGAAAGTTTTGGTACGACCTACCAAAAAAGTTATTCTAAAAATTACTGTAGTATAACGAGACTTCGTAATTATGAGTGCATTCGACAGATTTTTCAAAAATTCACTCGGTAAAATAAGTGCACTTAATTTCGAAACAAAAGTTTTATTTCATAAAATGATCTGATCGAATGAATGAAAATTTCATATGTAAATATTAAAACAGCGCCTATTATGTATGTCTTTTTTTTTATTCCACAATTAAATACCTGGGCATTGATTTTACTAATTAAACAGAAATAAACGAAGGAACATAACATTAGGAAAATTCAATTTACGAAAAAGCACCTTTTAAATTCTCTAAAATCGAAACAAAAATAAACCCCACCTTTCGTCGAACGAGAAGCCCAGGTCCAGAACACGCCACCCTAACAGGAGAGTAAAGAAGAGAAAGAAACCTCCCTCGACCATCACCGTTGGCTCGCCTCCTCCAATTCTCAGCCCTATCCGAGGATCTCACTGGTCCGTTTGCTTCTTTCCTCAAGAAAAATGGAGCAGACGAGCACCAACGAGCCCGGAAGGCATTTCAGGGCCCTCCCAATCGAATTCCGCCCGTCACCCTTCTCCACGTTCGCCGCTGCTCAATTAACTATTTATACACAATATATTATATGATAAACTGTAATCGTGTACTCGTTCGCCCATTGCGGGTTCATTTAATTATTCTTACGGTGTGGGCAGACGGGGCTGGGGGGGTAATAACGCTCTTTTCACACTCGCCTGTGTGTATGTATACCTGGTGTATCCGTGTGTGTTTTAGTTGTAGATGTGTATGGAGTACCGAGTTCTGTGTGTGTCTGCCTTTCTCTCTCTTTCCCACTGTGTGAAGTCGGATCAGGTGGGGGTAGAAGGGAACCGACGACGAAGAGCGTCTGATCCTCGCAGGTATTTATACTTTTTGTATTTATATATTTATATATATATATATATTTTTTTTTTGCTATATATATACGTATATAATTCGTCACAGTCGTCGTTTCAGCGTATGTAATATCCACACATACACGCGCTCGTACACTTGTATCGTTACACCTGTGACCCTTCTCTTTCGCCATAAGTTTTGCGACGCCATCTTTGCTCTCCCTCTACGCGCACCGAAGCACGGCAACACACGCGAAAAATAATCGTCCCAGTCCAATTAAAACGCTCGCTTATATATATATTACAACCGGGGCCACATGTTACTTCAGTTATGTATATATTTATATATATAATTACTTCCTCCTTTAATTAGTAAATTCATTTATAATTAATAACTGTACAAATTTCAATGTCACCTATATTTATATGCAAGTGAATGTAGTCGACGCTCGAGTCCGGCACACGCGTCGATTTCATTCCTCGTCCTAACGGTTTCCAGTTTCTTCATCTTCTTTTTTTTTTTTACTTTAAATCCGTTTTACGTCTCGTCTTGCTGCGAATCTTCATATAGCCATATATATATATATTTGTATATATATAGATCTATATGTATATAGCGTGCGCGCGACTTGGTTAAAATCGTTTGCATTTTTATCCCTTCGTTCATCGACTTTTTACTCCTTTTAAACACCGCGCCTCTAAAATTCTTTTCTCTATTTATATTTATTTATATAACCGTATATATCTATACACATGGATGCGTCACTGCAATGCGCACACGCGCGCCTGTTTGTGTATATATATATACATTACTCGATCTTATTTTTTTCCGTCCCTGGTCACCATTCCTCCTGCAACCACCGTTTTCGTTCTATGCGTTTCTCCGTCGCCATTTTGCACAGTGAACGATCCCTATCTATCACGGATCCGTGCGAGCACCGGGTTTCTTCTCTCGTTTTCTCTCACCATCTCTTTCTTTATCTTCCCTTTAATGTACACGCCCGCTAAATTGCCTATATCACTCGTGTTACTTCACCCCCTTTGACCCCCCTCCCCGTTGTTCTTCTCCCATTTTCGTTAATTATAGCTCGACCGGTATTAAAATTTAACATTTAAATTCTTCGATCACTACAAATATTACACCGCGACATTTGTACACAGAACAATCACATGAATTTCCACGCGGCTTCTCGTCCCACGTTCGTCGAAGCCGCACTACCCTCTTCTTCCCTTCGCCAACCTTGCTTCCGGTATCCCGCGTCTCGACGCCATCCTAAACGCGTCGGGCCATTCTCGTTTAATCGTTCACGGAGATTTTTCTTCCTTGGGATTCCTCGATCAGCCTCGATCGATGGCTGCTTCCAGAGTATCCAGAGCATCTCCGTACCGAGCGTCCGACACCGCGTGTCTCGAGGCGCAGCGTGGCCGAGAAGTCGTCCACCCACGCTGATTCACCCCCTGCTTCAACGCCAGATCGGAGCACGGTGCCTCCGTCACGCTTCCATGTTTCCCGTTCCGCAAGGACCGTCATTCCATCGTCTACTAGCGACTACTGCTGCAACGTGAGAAAAATTCATTTGGATTAATACGATGCTTTGAGTAACGTGCTGACAAATTTAGGATGATCGAGGAATTATTTACGTGGCATTTTTAATTGTACATTTGATCGTTTATAATTAAATTGGGTTGAGTCGAGAGTGAGTCTACGAGCGTCTATGACTATACTTCTCTTACTTTTTCAAATTAAAAATAAAAACAGATTTTGAGCCATTGTCGGTCTTCAATTCCCTCGAGTAACACTATGATTCCTCCCAATTCTCTTCAACATTTACGGTAACGTTCCAGTTCGATCGCTAATCATCCCCATCGACTGCAAGCTCGATCATCGAATCGAGAGCTGGTATTGTTCGCGTGGTGGATGTCTCTGAAACTGGTCAACGCGCTACTTTCCCACGTACCTTTATAAGTGATGTCCATAGTACTCTGGCGGGTAATGGTACTGATTGTGGAAGGTGGGATCGCCAGGCGGCCGGTGCATCATGCTCGCCGCCTGTCCGTCCATCATGTAGCCCATCGTCGCATCCGGACTGTACGCCCCGCTCGGACCTGCGGACAATGGTGGAAACACTACACGTTACTACGGTTAGATCACTGTTCCGTAATTGGCAAGCGGGTATTGGAAAAGCTCGACAGTCCCCCTCGAAACCTCGAGTCCTCGTGTTCCCTCTTAGTGTTCTTTCGAACAATACCGGGAACTCGATCGACGACCAAGAATGGTCTTGGAGGGACTGGCGAGCTGTGTGGTGTGTGTGATTGGCCCTAACCGCGGTCCTTATACGCTCTGAGTAACTTTTTTTTGAGAGGAAAGGGATGGGGAAGGGAACATCTAAGGATAGTGACGAGGAAAATTCATTAAATCGGAGCTTCGAAGTCCATCTTTATTGAACGACAAGTAGGTTTTGAGTATTTAGCATTTTTAATGGGATATTATTCTTCACGGTTTCATTTAGTGATAATATTTGATAAATTCATGAATTTATATTAAGGAATCTGAATGAGTAATTCGCGAGGCTAATTTCGTGAATCAAGATCCAGCGATCCTAAAATCGCTAAATAGACGCGTACCGGAAGCGGTCAGGACACAGGAACCGGGGGATTCAATCTTCGTCGGCTTGGAGCGGTTCTCTCGACGGTGACGACAGCTACTCTCTCTTTTCGTGAGCGGTAATGGAGCCAGGAATCCACGGGAGGCTCCCCTAGTTTTAATGTCGGTATCTTAATGTATATTGCCGCGATAAATCAAGGGCACTGATTGCGTCCTACCCTCCGGCACCAATACGAAAGCGTTGAACGAAACCCGAGGTGGAGGGAGGATTGGGCGTCATCGAAATCTCGAACGATGCGGGGCAGCCATTGTCGAACGCTCTTCTAAGCCTTTCTTATGCTAAACGTGGCTGGGACTATCTCTCCAGGAACGATATTAACCGTGGCGACATTCAGTGCGAGTATAATATTGTATTTTTGTCGAGGTGAGGGACCTAGTTTTAACTACTAACAAACTGCTTGCTCGCCTCTGTTTCTCCTCCTCAGGAGTGTGTTTTTCCTGCTGGTCGCGGAATTCCGCGAGCGATTTTTTCTTCCACGAAGGAACTCGAGGAATCGCGAATTGATGATGGCTCGCGTGCAACGGTATGCAAATAAACTTTTTACGTGCGTGGTATTCCACTTTCGATGGGGAAGTACACGATAGGAGTCACGATTGAACGGTAATCGATTTTTTGCGGGATGGGAGCGCTGTTCCGCAGGGATTTATGATGGAAAGGGTGGATCGAGGTTGCGATGGGTATTCTATTTAGTTACAATAGGTGTTTTGGTAGAAATAAATAAAGAAGAACAAAATAATACTGCTTGTACTCCGTGCAATACTTCATCCACCATAAGAGGTCTCCAGTTGCAAGAGAAAAGAACGAAAAACGATCGGATGGGAACGCAGTTCGTTTTCCCGCGAAGATCCCGCGGCGTGAAGGATCAAGCCGCTTTCCACCAATCACGGGAGCCCGAACGATTACTGCGAATCCAATAAAACCGACGGACCGAGACGGGCGAGTCCTTCGCAAAAGGAGCGAGCGCCCTCGCGCTCATTCGCGGCTCTATCCAGCTCGGTGGAATGTAGTCTCATATTATAGCCGCTACGATATCCCACTAACGAGGGACGCGCGCTTGCAGTGTGATTAAACCGCGCTATAACGCAGCAGGGCGTCCAGGGATGGCTGGGACCGGCCACAATATCGGAAATTAAGGAATCGGCCATGCGGGAGGCGCGAGGAATCGCCGAGACGCGGGGTGCGCGCCTCTTCCCGGCGAGAATCGCGAGCTTGGCTCTTTTCTGTGCCGTCTCCTCCGCAAATTGCGTCGTTAAGTACCCTTTCGGTCGATCACGGTTGCGCGATTATTCCTCGTAAACCGTGGCCGCGAAATCAAAGTTGCGTGTCGATGGTCGTTGGCTTTAAGGAGGTTTCCTGGTTTTCTGCCTGGAATTCTGTTGACTGTATGTATGTATTCAGACCTGTACCACCTAACAAAACTCAGAATGGACTTTCCAGACAAACCAATATATAATCCCATTATGTGCATGGTCTATCTCGATTGACATTGATATTGAAACAATATTATTGCATGATCATTAACTAAAAATATATGTAACAGTTTAGTATCCATATCAGTGCACATAACTATGAGAATCCGTGTATATTAAATGACTTTGTGGGCGATGCAATAAATATTTCCAGCAGATCCATAACAAATTCATCAACTGGAATATTTATTCCCCCGATTACCATTCGATTCGAATTGACCCAGACCCAGTGCTCCAACCCGGAGCACAATACCAAACCAGGAACGATTAAACCTACATCCCCGATGCACCCGCGTCCCACAGCTATCGACAAGAACAAAAGAATCGATTGTATCTCGGCGCAGTCGTCGTATTCTTATCGAGCCCCCGACCGATTCCCTATCGACTTCGCCTAAAAAAGCTCCCTGTGGCTCGACGCGCCTCTCCCTCTCATCAGGCTTTAATAAACGAAGACGAACGATCAGCAGATATGATCTGCCTTAATGGCAGTTCTTACGGCGCCTTTGAGTCTCGTGGAGATAGCACTTCAGAGTCGTACTGGGAGTTCGTTAGCCGCTTCCTCCATCACGACGATACTTTTCTTGGAGACCGTGCCGAGGCGAACCCCGTCCTAGGGAAGACGCCAGGGTCACGTCGTAACGAGCTACCGCGGGAAAAACTCTGCGTAACGCAATAAGGCCTTGTACCAAGGCCTGGCGGTGCCTTCCAGCAAATCCGTAAAGCTGGGTTCCTGGATTCTGGACCAGTGATGGCCAACTTGTTACAGGAAGCAGGGAAAGGGACTCTGAAAAGGATAGGGAGGAAATATCTTTGGTGTTCAGGTTATTTTAGTTCACTTCATGTACATATTTTGATTGTTAGGGATATGGATATTTAGGTTGGAGAATATGTTTAAGAAAGTGGGGCCTCAGGAAGTTCTTTTGGAATTAGAAATGGGACTGAAGGGGATGGGGAGGGAAATTATTTTCGTTGTTCAGTTTAGTCTGGTTCCTTTCTTGGAGTTTGATTGTTGAAAATGTAGGTATTTTACCCTTTGCAGGTAGTTTCCATGAAGTCAGGAACGAGGCTAAAGAAGATGAAAAACAAATTTATCTTCGTTGTTCATATTATTTTGTTTCCTTTTTTCTTCTCTGAAGTGTAGATACTGTAGATTCCCCATTGAATACGATAGTAACTCCTGTGGATTTCAGGTTGGCGACCACTGCCGCGGACCCTTCGCCGAACCAAAACTACCAGCAATACCGTCGCGACTGGTGATTTATCTAGAGCCGTTTCCAGCAGAGGAAGAGCAGAGGTTCGTTAATTGCGAACGCGCTAAGTTGCTAGAGAGAGGGAGAGAGAGAGAGAGAGAGTCCAGGGATGCACCGGAGACCAACTTCGAGACAGTCGTTTCGGGGCTGAAGACGAGCAGAAAGGAATACGAATTGCGGGACGAGCGAATTCGAAGGGTCGTGTAATTTGCTGGCGACTAGGGTCCTCTTTGCTTGTCCAGGAAGCAGCTCTCCACGTGGAAGAATTCGGTAATAGGACCCCGTTTATTGCGAGGGAAACGGGACTGAAACTTCCTGCAATTATCAAGGTTCCTGTGATAATCTAACTGTGGGAGTCCTTACTCAGATACTTCAAATTCAGTTTTAGCTAAATGTCCACCCCTTGTTAATGCAAGGCTATGAAGAATCCTCTTGGTCAATAATCGAGATTTACATTAGACACTCTATATGTTTTCTTCTGTGGTGTCCTTTTCATTGCTGAACTTAGGTCAGGAGAAGGGTGAAAGAGGTTCGGAACAGGGAAATTTCAAGGATTCAGATACTTCACTTGGAACAAGTATCTCAACGAAGATCCATAAAATTCTGAGTCTAAAGCTACTTCCTCCTTCGACTTCGTTGCTAAATGATCCCAGAGCTTGTTAACGCGACGCAACGAGCGAGCATATCGTTCAATAATCGGGGTTCCACTGTACTTGAAGCGAAGAATACGCGTCCATGCTCGGTTCCTTCGTTACGAGCGTTTTATCCGATTGAATAATGGTCGAATCAGCGGCGATTACAAATTGGCCGGTCGAGTAATAAATAGCCAGCGAATTGATTAATAACGGAGCGTTAAACCGAGCATCGTTATAATCGACGATGAATTATGCGGGCCACCGCGCGCGCGAAGATCACCTGGAGGAATTTATGACACGCTTCGGAAGCTGGTCGCGATCAGCACACGTAGATTAAATTGAAAACACAGTGACAGTTGAGAAAGAAATTTCCTGGGGACTGTATTCAGAGGAAGGATGACTTTTTGGAACAGGAAATGCACTCTAACGCTGTTACATCCTTCATAAATAAGTGATGGAGTTCTTCATCCGAGGAAAAATTAATTAGTTGGAAATTAGAAATTCATCTAAGTTTCAAGAACCAAGATGAAACCAGCAATTTTTCTCATCAGAGTTGTCCACCCCACCCCGAGAATCGCAGATGCGATTAAGCGTCGAAGAAAGCACCTGCGCGTCAGAACGTAAACAAAGCTTTCTCGAACAGCTGCGCGTCGCGTCGTTAATATAGCGCAGTTATTCCCCACCCCGGGGCAACTTTCCAGCCGCATCCGCGATTACCTTTAATCAGCGGGCTCGAGCAAACCGCAAAACACGGAAAGACACCTTCGAGCAGCCACTAAAGCGTATCTATTACACGCGGGGAAGATAATCCCCTCGGAAACGAGGTAAAACTTCGAAATCCGTTTTGCGCAGAGGGGTAGAGGAGGGAACGAAGATGCGCGCGTGCGCTCCAGCGGGGATCCAGCAGCAGCGCCAACACGGGAACAACATTAGTAACTTATGGTTGCGGCCTAGGTGGATGCCTGGCTGCGTTTCAGACGGAGATCCGGGAGCTACGGAAGCGTGGCAAGGTCTGGGGAGCCGTGGTGCAACCTAGACGAGCGTGGAATCCTCGGCGGGGTTAAGGGGGTCGGGGGTGGAAGGAACCCGAGCCTCTGAAGTTAGTTG